TTGGTTTTAAAGAAAACATGGCGCAGATATGTGTATTTTTGCTTTAAAAGACATTATAGCAAAATATAGAAGCCATAATTCCACCATGTTTCTGTGTTTTATTGATGTTTCAGGGCATTTGAGAAGGGTACCCAAGTAATAATAAGGATCTTAGCCTTCTGGTATGCACATCAGACTATGCAGGTGAAGTGGGGCAATACTGTGTCCGAACATTTTGATGTTGGTAATGGGGTCAAGCAAGGTGGGATTTGATCTCCTTTGTTGTTTAATCTGTACATGGATGATCTGTCTAGGAAACTGAAACTTTTGTAAAACTGGCTGTGTCATCGGTGCTACTGTTGTCAACCACCTTATGTATGCTGATGATTTAATCATCTTTTCAACAGCTTCTGAGGACTTGTTCCCAGTATGGCATTGACTTTAATATTAAGTATAACGCCAACAAGAGTAGCATCATGATTGTGCGAAATAAAGAGGATAAAAAGGCTGTATTTCCTAATTGTATTCTCAGTAGCAACATTCTACTTGTGTGCAGTGAGATGAAGTACCTTGGTCATTATATTTCTGTTGATCTCACAGATGAAAAAGACATCCATAGACAACGATGCAAACTGTATGCCCAGGCAAACATATTCATGCGGACATTTCACAAGTGCTCTGTAGATGTCAAGGTATCACTTTTGAAAGCTTTAATCTGTACACCATTGTACACGGCTCACCTGTGGAGTAACTACAAGGCTAGAAGCATACAAAAACTAAAAGTTGCATACAATGATGCTTTACGGTTGCTGCTGAGGGTACCAAGATGGCACAGTGCCAGCCAGCTGTTTGTTAACTTGGGGGTACCTACTTGTCAAGCCCTTTTAAGAAAGTTAATGTACAAATTCATGTGTCACCTAGAAGACTCAGACAATCATGTTATCTCGATTTTAATTAACCCTGTGAAGAGTTCTACTCGGTTCTCTTCCATGATTTGGAGACATTGGCGCAATAGCCTATACAGACAGTGAGCATGTGTGGCTAGCTGTGATTGGACTGATTTTATGTTTTTTATCTGTTTGTTTTTATTTGTTTTGTGTTTATTTTTTTAATCTTATTTATTGATGTTTATCTTTTCATTTTGTATGTGATATGGACCTTGAGTCTGAAATAAAGATTTAATTGAATTGAAAGCGCAGTTCAACTGTTTCTCACTTCTTCACATTTCTTCTCTTCTGCAGATAAATTCCAAGGGTACGACATGGTGGGGATAGGCAACATATCCATCAGCTACAGACAGGTAGGAACAACACACTCCTCCCCCTTCATCTGCTCTGACTTTGTACCTTTAACAAACAAGAAAAAGGGCTTAATATGCAACAGGAACAAATCATATAGTGAAGGAAAATCCCACAATAGATATAAGCTACAATGTGATTGTAAATCAAATACCCAATGATAATTCAGACAAATACGTTATTTACATCTGAAATAGAAAAATAATTAAAAGATTCAAATGTACATTTAGTTTATGTCCCCACAATGTACGACAGGGAAGAATACTGATGACAAATATTTGGACTTGTTTTCTAGTTCCAAGAAGCTACGTGACCATCGATCATTACTGAACCACCAATGTGCAAATGAGTCTGAATATTGAACTGAATCTGCACTCAGTGTTAGACTGAGTGTTAAACTGTAATCTGTCAGTCACATGTCCAGCTGATATTCACACAGTGCATCCACTAACATTCTCTTTCTGTTCCTCTTCCAGCTTGTTAGAGACATTATTCTATACTTGAGTGAAACAGGAAGCTGTTCCTCTTGAATCTGCACACATGTTGATGCTAAGCTAACTGTGTTATAATGTTAAACGCTTTATTTGGGTTCACACAGTATTTATATTGCATTTTGCTCAGTTAACAGTTCAATCTTTTTTACTGACTCAAAAATAGCAATCAATCGTACAATAAAGATGTTGATAAACAAGCAAAGACAAAAAAATAAAGAACAAAATTAAAAAATCTGTAGAAATGGGGTGTTTTTCTGGTTGTTATATTCTTATTGAAATGTTGCTGTTTGTCTCTTTTTGTCCTTTGCACTGTCAGTCAGTTTCATTTGAAATGTACCGTCAAACCTCCACACAAATAAGGTCTATGTTAAGAGGACTCTCTACAAGCTAATACAGAGTGTATAAAGAGTAGTCCTCTCCGATATGTGACTGAACCCTGTCGAGCTTTGAGGCAGGAGACACATCAACTGTAAAGATTGTGTCATCATTAAAGCAGATGTGTTGGACTAAATGTTTTCTCTTCTCTGATTGGTTCCAGTGGCTCCACATGACCATGTACAACTGAGCTGCTCCAATCAGACGCAAGCATCAGGGATCACTTTGTTAAATATCCTTCTCTATTTCTTTATTTTTTTACAAAAAATGTTCACATGCATGAAAGTAAATGTTGTGGGCTATGGGTATAGTTTAAACTTGGGAGAAAGTCTGTTAAATGTATGCAAAGGTTAAATGATTTATATATAGTTGTGTACAATTATGCTTTAGAAAAGGGCTATGGTTAAAAATGAAGGTTGAACGTTTTCTGTGTGCTTATGACCCCACCTCCGCACTGCTCCTGCATGGAGGTTTTTATTTACTGTAATTATGGGATTAATGACACATGGGAAAAGGACCCCCAATGAGAAGTGGGTGTCAGATTAAAGTGTTTTTATTTTGCAGTCAGTTGAGTAATATTCCCATGAATAAAATACCTTAGTTGGCTTTAGACTGGTTGAAAAAGTGCCTTACTGTGGGAACTCTTTGAAGACTCTAAATGTACAGGTTAGTTCAGAGATAGAAACATGTAGCAAACTAAGCCTTCATAATTGTGTCCGTGAATTTTCAACTACTCTCCAAGATGATATTGTGACACCTGTACCCAACAGATCTATATCAGACAACCAAAGAATATACATGGATTGATTTTGCCATGTTGCAAGCAACAGGAGTGCTAAGGTTTTAGCAGCTGCACCTTGTTTGATAAAGAATAGGGGAGTTGTGTTTGTAATATATTTTGCGCAGCATATTGCATAACAATGCTGATAATTGTACACTGAAAGTACATAATGACATTGTTAATAAAAAAGTATAAAAACTAAACCATAGTATGCCATTGATGTTTCCCCTCCAATGCCCTCATCATATTGTCCAACACTAGTTGGATCTCTAAGAACTCTCTCCAGTCCGGACACATCCAGGTGAGCTGCTCTGAGGGCAGGTGTGTGATTCACTGTGCTGGTGACACGGTGTAAAGTAATGACCAACACTAAGGTCCACTCTTTCCTATCATTCATCCCATTATTAGTATGGAAGATTCTGAATGCTTACATGTAAATTGTCTCAAAAGAGAAAATCAATTGAAACACAATAAACTGCCATCTTTAATGATGACACATGAACACTAAGTGACCCTTTGATCAGAGTTGCTTCAGGCCATGGACATGATACTGTTCCACTTGTCTGGGCTTTGTTCCCGACATGTATATATACTGACAGTTCTTGAAGTACTTCGCTGGAGTTTCCATGTGAAGTAACTTTATGCTTCCTTTCTACTCCCAGTGGTCAATATTGTACTTTATACTTAGCTACTTTACAAATGACGATCTTGTTTTCCCTTCCTATCCAGTGAACTTGATGAATTTCAAGATGTGTTGAATGTTTTTGATGAACTGAAGGATGAAGTGTTCCTTTATGTTATGAGACACCCGATCATCTGAAAACATAAGTGACGTCACAAAGCTGAAGGTACGTTTTTCTCACCGGACAGTGACGCCACAAACATTAGGATATAATCAAATGTGATGAATAAACTACCCAACAGCATATAAAGGAGTTACAATGAGCACAACCTTAAACAAATACAGAGGTCAAATGAAACATACATGAATGCAGCAGTCATGAATCCAGAAACACCAGATGTAAAAGTTAAACACTAACGGGACATTTACTGCCCGATGAAGACTTTTACTTTTCAGACTTTTGGTTACAATATTTTGCATTGTTGAAATGCACGAGGTGGGAGAGGTGCAGAGGAGTGAGCCTTGTATACAGTATCTAGGGGGGCCGCTGATGGTGTGGGCGGTTCTGGACCAGGTGAAGTTTGTGGACAGACTTGAGAAGGAGACCAAAGAGAAGAGGTAGTAGTCGATGCGTGAGACGACCAGGGTGGCAGTGAATTCATTAAAGTCACATTTTGATGCTTCTCAATGTTTATGCTCTATTTGTATTTGTATTTGTTTCTCCTCTTTGTTTCCGGCCGTGTTTCTAAATGAATACTGATACCCCCCCCCCCACACAAACACAGGGGATATTTTAAGAATGTCTGGTATGTGTAAATATCCGTCTTCCAGCACCAGCCTTTTAAGTCAGAGCTACAAATACCAGGTGTGTGTGTGTGTGTGTGTGTGTGTGTGTGTGTGTGTGTGTGTGTGTGTGTGTGTGTGTGTGTGTGTGTAATATCCTGTGTGTTTTTTCAAACTGACTTTAAGAGTGGCATGTGGCAGTCACACACCAGCCACCAGCTTTATTGAGGGGGAGATTACTAAACTCTTGGTGAAGGCAAGTACAACACATTTTCTCACGTTCCTCCATGGTGTCTGTCCCTGCTGACAGCTTTGGTTTGAGATATCTGTCTCTGAAATATCTGCTGCCACATTAGATCTATAAGGGCCAAATTCATTTAATTTCACAGCTCTGAAACTGACATTCCCATATTTGAAGCTGCAACATCTCTCCACAAAACCGAAACAGATTCCAAATAAAACCCATACTTTTTTCATCATACAGAAGCTGTGGGTTTGACTAGCAGAGGCTCAAGATCCGATTTGATCAGGGCACTAAAGTCACAAATGATTGCGATATAATACATTTCCGTATATTCCAATATTTTACCTTCTGTTCAACTGCAAATCATGTAGTTTGCTAACTTCTGTTTTTATCTAATAAGATAACGTTTTGGCAGCTCTCTGATTTCTTTCCCCACGTCTCCATCTATTTTTTGACTAACTTCCTGCCAATCCCCCTGACCTCATCAGGTAAAAACTGCACAAAACGATTGTTACCATAAAAATGAAATTGTATTTGCAATTATTAATAATGAATACAATAAAAGATTGATACTTGACCTCTTTGCATCAATACAATATTGCCATGCAAAACATCATGATATTATGATATTTCTTACTTTGGGAAAAACCAACTCTTTAACAGACGCTTTTGTTTTGTTTGGTTCTTCTACAAAAACAAACATTTGTAGTATTTTAATGGGATATATTGTTGTCTCTTTTTCGTAAGACTACATAAAAAGTTATGCAAACTGGAACTAATGACTGTGAGAATGTACACACACAAACATAGCAGTGATAGGGTCTCTGTGACTCCTGAGTAAACATCTATATTTGGGACTTCTCTTTGTTCAGCCCCTCTTTAGAAAGAAAAATAAACAGTCCATTCATAAGTTTTCCCTCTTTAATGAGCCCAGACTCATGCCGACCAATCACAGAGCTGTGAATGGTGGAGCTTCACTATACAGCATCACATGACATCATCAAATGGAGCTGCGGCCTATATGCTGCTCGGCCGCTGACGCTAATGGAGGCCGACAGCCTGAGCATGACCTACTTCTGAAGGTGGTCCTGCAGGCGGGACGGTCCCCTCCACACCAGTGATGGATGCTGCAGCTCTGGCTCTGTTTCATGAGAGTCAGGCTCCTGGTCAGTGGCTCTCTACCGCTGGATCACTACCTGATGAAGGTTCACGGCCAGACAGACATTAATCAACCACTAAGGATTGATCTTCCTTTTAAGCTGGTTTCATTCTTTACAAAACCTGGATACCTTTACAGATGTTTCGAAGTAAAGGTCAACATATTGAAAGGCAAATGAAAAGCACTTCCTGTCCCCTTCATCATCTGGTGATGCACAGATGTTTAAAACCATGAGTCATGCTTTACTACATTGTGTCTGTTTCTGGGTTTCTTTACAGCTAAGTTACATTTAAAAATGTTTGTCCTATGTCGATTCTTATATAAATATTCTACCTCCTTAAAGGGACAGTTCACCTCGAAATAAAAAATACAAATATTTTCCTTCTACGCATGTGATACAATCTGTGGGTGTGGTTCGGTAGAAAGAAAAATAGTTCCTACATGAAACTGCTCACTTCAAGTTGTGTGGATTATCTTTTCGAACCAGATTCAGAATCCTTGAAAGAGACATTGTTGTTGAGTGTTTCAAATGTATATTTTTGAGGCATTGGGCACTACAAGCAGTGAGCCATCTGGTTCCATTATATTGGAGCGAAGGCAGACATCTCTATGTTAAAGGTGGGGTAGGTAATTTTGGAGAAACCAGGGCTGAAGTCGAATAGTCCATTTAGCTTAGGAATCTTCCTAACGGAGTGAAATGACCCAGTAGTCCCTCAGTGGTAGCCACGATTAGCTTAGTTTAGGAACCACTGGACCTCCCTCACCGAAAGGAGAAAATACTGCCCCACAATGCCTTGCAGCCGCAGCATTTGCCGTCACACAACAGTCGGCCGTTCACGGAAACAACCGATTATGACCGAGAAATGACATCATGAAAGTTACGGTGCTTATTAAGCTTTTTAAAACGTATGTGGTAAGTTGCCAAAGTGCTTTGTTTTGAACGTTCATCAGTATTATAATCAAAAAGACAAATATGAACGTTAGTTTTTACTGAAATGATCAAACAAAGTCAACATTTCACAGTCTTTAATGAGCTGTGTGTTTGTTCAACTTTTAAAAGGTGTTTGAATGGTGATATACACAGTGATAGATGTTAAGGACTAACGTTTATAATAAATACATTT